GATTATTTATATAATTTAATGTCCCATTATTTAAACGATTGATTTTAAATAGATTTTCGTTCAGTCCATTAAAAAATGTGTAAAATAATTGTAGTCTTAAAAATGCTCATTGGTTAAGTAAAATTTTATGAAAAGTTTTTTGTTGAGGACTTTATTAAAATGTTAAAGATTAAAAAACTAATTTTTAACTAAAATAATATATTATTCACCATGGGACTGAAGTGAAACTTTTAATCCCGAGGCGAAAAGTTACTGCATTTTCGTCCCAACAGTGCATAAAATATATTTTTTTTATTAATGTTTTTGCATTATAAAAACTTTTTGACGATTCTAAATTTTGGGTTAAATAAAATTAACAGGGAGCTCAAAAATTACAAAATTTAACTTTTAGCTCACACTGGTATAAGCAAAATTAATTTTTCGAATAAATATGCTCCAAAATTTCATATTATAAAAAGATCATTTAATTACCTTAACATTATGTAATTGGATTATACCGGGTGTCCGCGCGAAAACTTTAAATGGAATTATTTCTGGTGTTTTAAAATATATCGACTTGAAATTTTGGAAGGTCATTAAGGAAGTAGGGGGTAAATTAATAGTGTATAAGATACCACTCCAACGTGATATCTGCCGCCCCCAGCCACCCCCGGTTTAAAAGTTTAAATGACACCCTGTATTTTTTTTACATATTCTGAAAGAGCGTAGTTTTTTTAGTATCTCTATGTGAAAAAATTACTTAATTACATAATGAACTTTGAAAGATATTTACAGCTAAAGGTTCAGATACCAGATATTCAAATATCGAAAGCAAAAAATAATAGCAAGCCATGAAAGCTGCTTCGTTGCTTGAACTGTCAAATAATATTGTTTGTGACACTTCCGTTTACTCGTTAGTACAAAACTTTTCGAAAACATTTGACTTAGTTTAAATTAAATAGCTAAAAAAATAGACAAATGGTTTACAGTTTGGAAGAAAGAACTGAAATTGTAGTTTTATATGGGATTGCAAACAGAAACTATTCGCAGACGGCAGCATTATTTAACGAAAACCATCCCAACAAAAATGTATCTGCTGTTTATGTAATTAATCTAATACAAAAAATTTTTGAAACTGGATCGGTAAATAATGAAAAACGTGATATGAATAATCGTGGAGCACGAGATGAAGCAACGCAAGTTGCAATTCTTGGTCACGTAAATTTAGACCCACAGCTTTCAGTTAGAAAATTATCAGAAGCTTCGGGAGTAACAAAAACAACGTGCCATAAAATATTAAAATTAAATAAAATGCATCCTTATAAAATACAGCTTCATCAAGAGTTGGGCGACGATGACTTCGATAGAAGAGTCCAATTTTGTGAAACTATGACAGGCATGATTCGGCAAAATAGAAATACTTTGCGAAATATTTGTTTCAGTGACGAAAGTTGCTTTTCCTTAAATAGTTTCGTAAATAGACACAACTGTCGATATTGGAGCGATGTTAATCCCCACGTTTTCCGAGAAGGCCATACGCAACGTCCCCAAAAAATTAATGTATGGGCTGGAATTCTAAATAATTGGTCCAATTTTCTATCACGAGAATTTAACTGGGCTTAGATATCTCGAGTTTTTAGAAGAATTAATACATCCTCTTATCATTCAGTGCTTGGAAGAAAACTTAGATCAAATGCAGGAGGATCAGTTATACTTTCAGCAAGACGGAGCTCCCCCTCATTACTGTTTAGAAGTAAGGCAATATTTAAATACCGTTTTTCCAGGACAATGGATAGGTCGTAGGGGTCCTATTGAATGGCCAGCTCGCTCCTCAGACTTGACCCCACTGGATTTCTTTTTATGGGAACATTTGAAGTCTGTTGTTTACAGGACACCACCACAATCCATTGATGATTTGCGTAATAGAATCATAGGGGAATGTAGAGATTTAACACCACATGTCTTTGAAAATATTCGGAACGCTTTCGAGAATAGACTGTAGTATTGTTTAAATGTAAACGGTGAACATTTTGAACATTTGATTTGACTAAAAAAATAAAAAGAGTCCTTACTTTAGTTTATAAAGCGAAATTTTGTTGGTCTATAAGAATACCTATTTTTGTGATAAGTTGTATTTCTTTGTGATAAGTTGTATTTTTTTGTGATAAGTTATATTTTTTTGGATAATTAGATTTTTTTGTTTCTATCTGCTTTAATTATTTCGAAATTTGTCTACTGTCCAAGGTTACTAGTTCTTTTTTTTAATATCTGGTATCTGAACCTTTAGCTGTAAATATCTTTCAAAGTTCATTATGTAATTAAGTAATTTTTTCACATAGAGATACTAAAAAAACTACGCTCTTTCAGAATATGTAAAAAAAAATACAGGGTGTCATTTAAACTTTTGAACCGGGGGTGGCTGGGGGCGGCAGATATCACGTTGGAGTGGTATCTTATACACTATTAATTTACCCCCTACTTCCTTAATGACCTTCCAAAATTTCAAGTCGATATATTTTAAAACACCAGAAATAATTCCATTTAAAGTTTTCGCGCGGACACCCGGTATATTTACTAATAATCGATAAGTTAAAAACAATCGAATTTAAGAATTAAAATCAATCTAATTATATCGATTAATATAATAATTGAATAATAATTATTTGAACTGAACTGATTAAAGTAAATTAATAAATTTGTCTATTGATATAAAAGAATTAAACGAAAACAGTTTTTGGTACCTTTATAAATATCCATTCCTCCTTTTATTATCTTTTAATTTATTACTGTCATCTCTGATCCTGTATTTATTATATTTTATTTATTTTTATCCCTCTCTCCCTTATTTTACCATTCAAATAAATTAACCCTATTTTTTCCCTATCTTGACCTATACTATCCCCCAAATATATAAATTCCACAGGGTGTTCATGGACGCAAACTTTAGTTTTTAATCTTGGTTAATTTTCTTTATTTATTTGTGGTATTTTCTCCATCACTTGTATATTGTTCAATCTACGATTTCTTTCATCTGTATTTCCCTCCTGATTTTTCATATCTTGTGATATATCTCTTCTATTATTCTAGTTTCCATTCCTATTATACCCATTGCCATTATCATATATCTCACTATTTCCATAATTATTTCTTCTGTTCCAATTTTTTCTTTTGCATTCTCCATAATTATAATTATTAAAATTTCTTTGTCCTCTTTTCGCTTCTCCATGGTTATTCCTGTCATACCTATTATTTATTCTTACAAGATTCCTCCTATCATACCCTCATGCACTATCCTGCTGAATTTTCATTAGAAAAGTTAATAACCGATCTACCTAACTAATTCCTTGGAATGTTATTTGGACTGAAATTTAATCTTTAAAAAATGTATCAATACATCCTAGTATCTGTTTCTCTGTTATTTGTGAAGTATTGAACCGTATCATATAAATTTGCTGCATACGTATTATAGTCCATATACATCTTTAAATATCATATTTCCCTCATATTAACATATTCTTAATCTGGATTTTCTTAACAAATATAATTCATAAATTGTTTTTCCAACACCTTCAAATTCTTTATTTTTTCTATTCCACCACAAAACTTGCTTCACATATTAAATATACTTCTATACCCCTCTTAATTTCACTACAATCATCTTGTCTCCTTATTTCGATCAAATATTTTCCAAAATAATATAGGATGTAATAATTTTAAATTTTCATCAAACTGCATATTCTGTTTAATAATATACTCCTTTCCTTGATTGCTACCATTGGTATTTCTATTTTCTCTTCCTTCCTCTATTTGAGTTAACTTTTCATCTATTTTTAATAGTTTTAAATTTATTATTATTGTTTTCCTAAATTACTTGTTAGCTTATTTAACTTTTTACCATATTCTTTTTCCATTTCTTTGACATTTTCCTTCACTTTTTCCAAACTCGATATCCTACCATAATTTTTTTTATACCTGTTTTAACACTATTTTTATTCTTTTCCTTTTTCTGTTATTTTATATTTCTTATCTTGTTCTTTATCAACCACCCCCCGACATTTTAAATTTCAACTTTAATTTTGATTTCCAGAAACTTCACCACCATAGCATCATTCAAGTTTTGACACAAATTTTGATGACGTCAATAATTTATATATCAATAGACAAGTTAATTTTGACTCCTCATCCTTTATATTATTTGAAAGGATCAATTGTTTTATCCTCTTGTTAAATGATGTTTGTCTTCCAGTTTTATTATTTACCTCGTATATACTAATATACTAACTTTCTCCCTAACTCCAATTTATGATATTAAAATACTTTGCGCCATATTTCTATTTTAATAATTAGGATATTGCTAATTTAATCCTACTTGAAAATGTTTAACTTATTTGTATTTCTCTAGTTCATACATGTATCCCCTTTCATTATACTAATATCCTAACTTTGTTCATAACTTTGTTATTTATGATATTAAAATACTTTGCTTCATATTTCAATATTTACAATCAATATGTTGTTTGTTTCGTATAACTACTTGAGAACATGTAATTCAATTTTATTTAAATATTTAAATTTGTACCCTTATTTTAGTTCTTTTAAAAATCTAATTTATTAGGACTGTCGTTCCTTATTCTATATAATTATTTGGTATTGTTTTTACTTTAGACCGGATGATGACTGTTGGTCGGAACTAGTTGCCCTAAATAATCATATAGGTAAAGAAAAATAATATCAACATTTATTTCACTTTATACATAACCTCGGTAATTCTATAAACATTATTAAAACTACTCTCATAATATGTATTAATTAAAAACCTTTAATTTCATCTTTTTTTACTTAAACTGAACCGAAATTCATTAACCAACATTACCGATCATTTCACCATTTACCTATCCCAATTTTCCCAAAAGATCGCTTCTCCCTTCGTCCTTTATAAACTTAATTAAATCCCTTTTGTTAACCCTTCAGCCTTGGAAGTGAAGAAGGCACCTTAATCTAAGTTTATTTTGTCTTTGCAGGTGGTAAAGTGATCGATGAAGATCCGTCGGAAAACTGGCTATTTCCCAGCGTCGCCCCGGCACCTCTCGAATTGGAAACCCATTCCGATTCTACGGCAAACAAAGGGCTGTCCCTCGCTTTCCATTTGAGTTTAAGTTCGATCGTGACGTTGATTGGTTTTCTCAGGTGACACGTAACTTATGATTAGACGGCTGGAAGTGCCGAATGTCGAAAAAATATGTGTTATGATATAGGATGTGAATGGACATCTGCTGGTTGTATCCCAATAAGTGTGCCGGACTTCAAAAATGTAGTGTAAATATGAGAAAGTTGCCAATTTCTGTAAATTTTGAGAATGTCGCTATAAAAACGAAAGAATGAATATTATGAAAAAAATGTTTTCAAATAGAAACGAAATTTTAATATATATTCCTTTTGATATAAAAATTGGATTTTCAAAACTTTACTGGTACTTTTTAAGTTATTATTAAACCACTGAGTTTACGTTTTTCTTTTAAAAGTTGGTTCGCGGTCACGGTATCTAGAAGTAAATCCTTTTGTGTTTCATTTCTGCCATTATTGTTTCCAAATACCATTCGTTTATTCAATACTATATACAAGGTATTTAGGTTTATTTAAAAAAGCAATTTCCAAGGTTTTTGCAATAGTTTTTCTGGTATGAACTGAATTTAGTATGCATATTTTACTATTAATAATTTTACACATTATGTATCGTAAATAATAAAATGAATTATAGTGTGGTCATTATAAAAAAAATTGGGCCTAATATAAACCTCATATAAACCTGTATATGAATTTTGCTAATATTCGATATTAATTTAAATCATATATTAATATGGTAAACAAATATAACATTTACTGTTTTTGGCACAATTTTTTAATATTCTAGTTTTAATTTTTTAATTTTAACTTAATATTTACATAAAAATTTGTTTTTAAACACTACAAATCTGACAGTCAAAAAATAGTGAATATCATTGCTGAAAACTTCAACAATAAATTTAAAAACAAACAAGGAAACGTACCTCTACCTCAGTTTTAGCTCTTTTACATCTGCACTTCTGACATCTGACGTAGATTCAAATTTATTAAATCTTTTTAATTTACATTTACTTCTTGATGCTTTCCCTACATGCTGTACCATTTGTTTTTTTATTTTCAAGAATTTACCATCTTGAGGCCTCATCAAACTTCTACAATTATATAACAAGATATGGACCAAGTAAATTTTTTCCAAGCTCTGGTGACAATCTGTAATACTTGCAATTAAGAAACAGGGAAAATCATCCAATAGTTCAAACTCATACATGCCTATTTCTTTGACTTCCCATATTTAAACTCTTAAATAAAAGACTTCTTTGCTATCTCGAGAATTATCTAATCCTGCCATCTGCCCAATAAGACTTAAGACCTCAACGGAGTATCTTAGACAATCCATTAATATTAAAATTTTTTGTATTCAGGGCTTTTCCAAAAAACAGGATGTAGTAGCAGCTATTTTTCATATCAAATGTACCTCTTGGACACCCTTCTGAGATCTGTAATTTTCTAAAAGCTTAAAAATTTAACATTTATTCAGTTTAATTGAAAATTTTTCTTACTAATCGTATATTTAAAATCACTGCTAATGAAAAAAGATCTACATTCTCCCAATAAAACCACAAGACTCGGTTTTAAGATCAGTTGTGTTAATACTTGCTAATAACGACATATGCAACTCTATTGGCCCTCCGGTCAAACTTTCTCTATATACAGATGACTTTATTATCTACTGCTCTAGTAAAAGTGTAACGTCTATCTCTACAGCAATCCAAGAGGATATAATTCAGTCTGTGGTCTTCAAAGACAGGCATCCTAATCTCTCCTACAAAATCAAAATTAAATCCAAATATTTCTCCAAACGGTAGGTCTTTATAATAAAATCTTATAATAAAAAAAACACTAAAACTGTCATGATTATTTAAAATGTTTTACAGTAAATATTATTCAAAAATAAGTTATCTTAAAATATTAAAGAATTAAAATTATAATTACTAAAAATGTGCCAAAAGCAGTTTTAGTACTTGATTTGTTTATGTTATTGAATTTTATAAATCAATGTTTTAAATTAGCAAAATTCATATACAGGGTAATTTGTTTTTATTCTATACCAAATACTTTTTTGGCAATGAATTAAATTAATTTTTTATGGTACAAAATTAGATAGCTTATAGAGGTAGATACGTACCAAGTTTAGTTCAAATCAGTGTATTTACAGCAAGAATACGGACAATTGAATTTTTTGAAAATAAACGAAAAGACCCTGTTCATAGTAACCTTAAGGTATGTAGGAGCACAATAATGGCAGAAATATAATCACCTCAGATCCTTTACCATCTGTCATTCAAAATATTTTTAATATTTTTAACATGATAGATATAATTTGCAATAATAAACAATATACTTAGTTTCAAGTAATAAAAGTAAATGGGGTAGATAATAATATTTTGATTAACTGAGACAGCGCAATACGAGTAGTAGTCAAAATGTTGACATTATTGAAAATTAATTTGACGTAGTGTACGTCTTAAGATTCGACGCGTTATTTTTGGCAAATTTAATTAAAAAAATATGTAATTTTCCTCCAGTATCTGCACTTTAGTGGCAACAGCTCATTTTATTTTTTTCAGAATGTGTTAATTTCGATCCTTATTTTGTTATTCTATATATTTCTGTACGTCATTTAGTGTTCAGTTTGTTACTTTATATTTACTTTATTTGTATGTTGAGTCTGTCCTGTTGGATATTATAAAAAAAATAAATAAAAAAAAGTAACTAAAAAAAAATAAAAATAAAAAATAAAAATAATTTAAAAATTAAAATAAAAAAAATGTTATTTTTTTGTGGAGAAGGTACTAATATGGAATATCATTTTAAATTAAGCTAATTTAAGGCGTAAGATTTAGACAATTAGACAACAAAAAAAAGTTTGTATAAAAGTAACGGTGGTGAAAATATGGAATAACTTAAATAAAATCTAAAAAATAATCAAATCAAATAATCATGGTTCCGAAAAATTTAGGTCGTTCTCGGCAACTATGTGAAGCTGGCCCCCCCATAAATCGAAAAATTGTAATTTTAGAAGCAGCATGCGTTTGGCCACCTCTTCATCATGTTTAACCATCCACTAATTTTTTTGACCACAGTTACCTAAAAACGAAAATAAATCAAACTCAAATGTGAAAGACGTAAAATAAAATGAATAAAACTCAGAGTCAATATCACATAAAATACCAACGACCGTTTCCCTTTAGAAAACAACTTTGGCTAATACCGCAACAGGTATTGAATTATATCCGAAGAAAAGACAGCAGAGATAGAAATTAAATTTCAACACTCTCTACCTTTGAGAGAACATCATTCTTTGAGTTTTATTTATTTTATTTTACGTCTATCACATTTGAGTTTGATGTATTTTCGTTTTTACAAATTGCTATCCTGGTCTTTTTGGTTCCACCTAGTTTTCTAACTGGGTACTACAGCGCACTTTGATTTTGCTTACTAGGAACAGATGGCGACACCATTTTACAGGGTGAATCAATAATTGTAAAACCTTGTCCTAAAAGGAAAATTTAATAAAGTTCTTTGTAAGTTTTTAAAATGTAACATAGTTATAATGGTTTAGAATTAAGTTTTGACTTTTAACCAACCCCTAAAATAATTCTAATGTTTCTAAGTAATGTGGAAAATTCTAATAATAATATTTGTAATCTGAATTTTGACTTGTAAACAAGGATAAATCGACCTGAGTGCACAATAAAAATCCACAATGGCTTGTATTTATGGTTTAATGTTTAACACCCCTTAAATAATTTTTGTGTGCCCAAGTAGTGTGAAAATTCCAAAAATAAAAATTGTAAAACGAATTTCCACTTTTAAACAATGGTCAATCGACAGGAGTGCACAATAAAGGTCCATTATAATTTAGAATTATGTGTTGACAATTAAACACCCCTTAAAATAACTTTAATGTGCCCAAGTAGTGTAAAAATTAGAAAAATTCAAATTTATAAAGGGTCAGTCGGCATGAGTGCACAATAATGATCCATAATGATTTAAAATTATGTTTTGAATTTTGACCACCCCCTAAAATAATTTTAATATGCCCAATTATACATAATTTTAAACCTTTTTGGATCTTATTGTGCATTTGTGACGTGGGGCCTAGAGAGGTTAATGGATGAGTTCTCTTTTTTGTCATTTTAATTCCTCCTTTCTATCCTACAAACGATTTTAGGCATTTTTTGATATCATCTTTCGTTTGTGAGTTTTTCAATTGCTACACTGTACATTTATTTGCCCCTACATCGATTTTCCATTTCGTTCAACTAGAAATTTATTTTGGAATTATTTTTTACCCCTCTGGATTCTTGACAGATATTTTAGGGGGTGGTCAAACGGCGATATATAATTTTAAACCGTTTAGGATCTTATTGTGCATTTTTGACGATCGATTATGTTTTCAAATTTTAAATTTATCCGAGAAATCTTGTTTTTGGGTGTTAAAAAAATCGAATGGATGTTATGGAGAATAATAACTTTGCAGGGGCCAGCGGGCACGCAGTCTTTATTTTATTGTTTATATTTAGGTTTCTGTGGGTTGTCAGAAAAAGATAGTGGGTGGTCAAACATGGTTATTAGGTAGTCAAATGCATGCCGCTTCTAAAATGAAAATTTTTAAATTTGGGGAGACCAACTTCACAGAGCTGTTCTCGGTTTCTGCACACCCCTTGCACATTAAACAATGTACCCATAATTCTGCTCCTGATAAGCAGAAAATACATTTTTGAAAACAATGCATTAAGCATTGTGCTGATTCGGTTTCAATTGTCAATCATTGTAAGGGTCATAAAGTTTTACATCTTCGCTTAAATCCTCAGATTCATCAGAAGAAACTGCATTTTTTGTGAGTCAGTAAAATTTGGACCCCATTTTTAAAACGATATCAACTAGCAGCTTCTCTAGTTTTAAACCAAAATCACATTTTCTTCCACGCTGAATTGCTACAGCCTTATTACATTGTTTTTTCTTCCAATGCCTTGATGGTTATAGCCATGTCCTCTTCCTTTTTTTATTGCAAGAATGACGTTCAGGTTCTCGTGGCATATGAAAAAAATAAAAATTCTGTAA